GACCAAATTGCCCATCAGCTGGGGCTGACAAATGCGCAGGTCATAACCTGGTTCCAGAATCGACGGGCAAAACTAAAGCGAGATCTGGAGGAGCTGAAAGCGGACGTGGAGTCAGTCAGATCCACAGGTGTAGTGCCTCTGGATAAAATCGCTAAACTGGCCGATCTGGAGAGGTGTGCGGTTGGAGCCACGGGGCATCCTGGGTCTGAGTGCTCGCCACGGCTGGGTCACGAGTACAAGAGTGCGCACAAATTATGTCTGTCCCCCATGTCGTCTCTCTCAGACCACACAAGTCAAGAAGACTACTCCGAGGACGAGGATGTGGAAATAGACGTCGATGTCTGATGTAGCTAAACCACTGCATATTGATTTCAACTTTTGTAAATTTATATTTTAAGACACGCATGCACATAACCATCTACATGATTGTTGTGTTAAAATGAGTTTAATTTATAGCCAGACTATGCATGTTTAACTCCTATATTTGTTCAGTACAATTAGTGAACTAGCTGTTGACGTTTTTATATATAAGATATTGTATGCAATGTAATGGCTTTAATGAGTGTAATAAAAGAATATGTCACAAATCAGGGCAACAACCAGAGCAATACAACCTCTTAAAGACAAAAACTATTTTTAATTTTTTTTTTTTTTTTTTACAAATGTGTATTTATTGCGTAGCCTATGCTTCATTTGTACACAATCGACAGTGACTGCTTTTTTGTAAAGTTTTTGTACAATTCACTTGCAATATAGTGCCTTTCAAAATTAGGCCATTGTACCAATAGCCTACCGAATGTGTTTAATGTACTGAGTTTGAAAATAAAAACATTTATACCTTTTATAAAGATGCTATTGCCGAGACTGTAAATCAATAACAATCGTCATATATTCTGGCAAAACTTTTCTTTTATTGTTATTATTATTGTTATTATTATTATTAACAACAACAACAAGAATCGTTTTGTTTTGCTTACCCTTTTGCATAAATTCTAAATATTAAGTGATTGACAGCAATACAGTAAAAAAAAGTCTGAGCTTTTTTTATACTGCAGTAGTTTTTATGAACTATATTTTACGCATAGCCCTGTGACAAATATATATTTTTTTATTTTAAAAAACGTAAATTTTTTTAGATATTACATAGCCTAACTGCCATGTAAACATTCATTGACAGAAGAGCTAACGAACTTCATACTTTTTTTCTTGTAATTGCTACCTGCCTTGATTTCTTTCCTCAAAAAGAAAAAAGAAGAGAAGAAAAACATTCTTGCCCCTTTAACGCTATTGTTTTTGCTCTCTGCAGAAGAAACAGAAAGCCTTTGGCTTACTCCGTTCTCTGTTTCACTTTGCAATAGCGTGACTTGGCTTTTGACCCAACAACGTGTGTTTTTCCATTCTGGGCAAAATTTATGTGAGAAACACAAATCTGGGGCGCTGGGGATAAAAAGGAGAAGAAAGACACAAAAACACCAAGTTTTGGTCCAGTTTATCCAGGGCTATATAATCCTTTTTGTTCACGGATGAAGCTGTAATTTCCAGCGTAAAGCATGAAAGCTGAGGACAAATGAGCCATCCACCCTGATGTGACAAGTGACAATGGCGCATGGCTGGACTCCTGCGGTTCACCATACTGAAACAAGTGTGTCCAGCCACATAAAAAAGACGCGAACGTTTGGAGGCCATATGGTTTCTGAAAATTTCACACAATTTCAGACAATTTGATGGATTGCGTTAACCCCTCTTTTAAACAGTTTAACGCAGCGCGAACAAAGGCCATACATTGGAGTCTCTCCTCGAGAAAGCATCTGTACCCATGAATGTCCGCTCTTGTCTTCTCGCCTTTTTAGCTTGGCGTTTTGAACAAGTCAATGAATTACAATGAATCGCTCTCTTTTTTTTTTTGTGCACTGACTTTCGTCCCCCTTTTGGTGGTTTTAAATTATTGTGTGGGGGGATCTTTTAGTTAAAGAATATGTCCTCGTTTTGTTGGAGTTTCATGGGGACTCGTTAAGCGTTCAAACCAAGGCTCTCATGTCAGCTTTGCTAAAAGGGGGGTCTTTTGTTTATAATGTTTGATTATTTTGCCTCCTTACCTTAAGCCTATTTGACTTTGAGGAGATTAATAACGCCAAAAACTGGATAACGTCCTAAAGAGCGTGTGAGCTTTAAAAAACAAGACGCATTGAGTGTGCTGTCAGTAGCAGGTGTATTTCATGTATAAAAGAAACAACATTGGGCCAAGGCTTTGAACGCTAACTGTTGTAGTAGGTCTAGCTAATAGATGTTAGGCTACCTAACGTTGTTTTGTAAAGAGGAAGAATAGCTAAATCAATAGCAAGGCAAAATAGTGTCATTTTATATGAAAAGGTTCCTTCATTCTGTGATTTTTGCTCCACACATGCGTATTAGCATTCTCTTTGATCATGGAAAATTTGAAAGGTGTGCGTCTTTCCACTCCAAAGATATTGACAAAAGTTTTTTTTTATAAGGTAAGATTTTCATTTCACCATGTCCCTTCCACAATGAATAGCTTATTATCCTTTTATGACTGTTAAACTTCACGTGCATCATTGCAAACGTAACTCTGTGCTCTAAAAATAGATATATTTTATGATATTGTGCCATGCAAGGTCTTTGCATAATCTAGAGAAACATACGAGTATGTCAGTGGGGTAGGGTTGAGACACAGTGTATCAACTGTACCCAGACAGGTGTCCTATTGCGTCACATGCTGTTTAGCTGTACAGTGTTATGATAATAGGTTAAAAATCACATTTACACACATGCTACGCAAATTATGTTTAAAAAAAAGATTTTTTATTTTATATCTGTCTATTATTAATGGACATATTTTCTAACATGAATGTTAAAAGGATAACATAGCATTTTGTGAAATATACAAGGTGGTAAAGTGGGTACAGTTGACACACCCTTTATATCCTATGTATGCAGTAACAGTTCCATCAGAAAATAAAATGCATATTCAGAGGCTGTGTGTGTTTGTGTACTGGTATTACCTACGTTATGGGGACCAAATGTCCCCACAAGTATAATAGCAGTAAATTCTAACCTTATGGGAAAATGTTGTTAGGTCCCTATGAGATTAAAAATGTAAAAATACAGAAAGTTTTGAGTAATGGGTATAGGTTTAGGGGTAGGTTTATAGAATATACAGGTATGTAGAGGAATAAAATATACTGTGTGTACAGTATAAAAACCACTACGCTTATTGAATGTCCCTATAATGTTAAAAATACCTGTATGTGTGTGTGTGTGTGTGTGATACTGGTATATATGGTTTATGAGGACACAAATGTGTATAATGACATGGGTACTACAACATAAATATGGTTTATGAGGACACTTCCTGTGTCCCCATAAAACAACAGGCTTAAAAAACATACAAAACGGTGTTTTATGAAATTCAAAAATTGCCAGTAGTTTTCTGTAAGGGGTAGGTTTAGGTGTAGGGCGATAGAAAATACAGTTTGTACAGTATAAAAACCATAATGCAAGTATGTGTGTGTTAGGCAATGTAGTCAGTGAGTGGACTTTATTTTTGTTTCTGTTTTTGTTGTTTTCCATGAAAATTTACATTGTTATTTTTACATTTGTACGGTTTGCCATATCTTTTCAAGTGTTAAATATTTTTGTTCCTTTATTGTTTAACTTAATCTGAATTATATAAAGCGAATAAATAAATCTGAATTGTTTAAAAAAAAATTGCACAACTGTAATTTATTACATTTGCAATAAATGGTTAGCAAGGCTTTAGAGCATTAAGAATGGGTGTCTCAACTGTACCATGGTACTGTTTCAGCTGTACCCTATATGGGTACAGTTGAGACTAAAATGCACCTTATGTTTATGAGCTAATTGTGGAAAATATAAACTACTTATGGCTATTATTAGTTTATGATATTTTAGCACATAAGCAAAATAAATATAATGTGAAAAATCACTTCATTTCGGCAACTAGTTTTTGTGTAGTGATGAAAAAAGCAGAAAGTGTCTCTACTGTACTCAGTATACCGTATATATATATATATATATATATATATTCTTCATTAAAAAATAAGTACTGCACTAGTGAGAGTGTATTTTCTTAAGAGAGTTTATTTTCTTATTTAAGACCAATAGGGCTTCTTTAAAGTCCAAAAATGGCTATAAACGCCCATATAGCCTATCTGAAAGTTTTTGCACAATTGAATTAAGACCTAATCAGTGTTTTTCTTAAAGCCTTAATCTACGTCTTATTCTTTCATGTTATATTAATGTAAAATGAATTAGAATATTCAGAATAAGCTAGACAAGATAATAAACACAGGAAAACGATCGGATTTCAATTTATTAATGTAATATATATTTTATTTATTTATTTATTTTTGGTAGAATGTTTTACATTAAATCCTCTCTGATTGCTCGGTCTCTCGGCCCAAGTTCTGCTGGGGCCAGTTGCACAAACTGTATAAACTAGTCTTAAAAAGGTAGTCATGTAATTTTTTTTCTACTAAACTGGCCATAACTTTTTAAAATTAGTTCCAAAAAGGTTGACTGCTGTAATTTGAATTGAACTGACTGGTTACCTCTTGGCTAACTGCTAGTTGGTCAAACTAGTTCAGTCTTATGTTTATGCAACTGGCTCCTGTGATCTTCTGCTGCCCTCTGGTGGCCGACATGCTGGTGGCGTTTGCTCTCGTGCATGCTTTCTTGATATTTTGCAGTTACGATTGGGAAACGCACTTATATTTTACTCAGCTTTTGTATTGTAGGAATTTTGTGTTGTTTTAAAATTCTGTTGATGCAGTCTTGTGATATTTATATAATTGTTTATGACTCTTATATAATTCTCGCCTCGTTGAACATTAATGGCAAATATTCATTTAAATTCTCTCCCCTATGTGGACAAATGTGTGAGATTAAATGAACATACAACATTTTCTGATTTGCGCATAAGCAGCGCAGTCACAAAACACTTGAACACCCACAGCGTGCGACGCCCGCATTACGTCATGACGTTGTTGTTGGCGGTATTTTTGTTTGGCATCTACAATGTTTAGTGCCAAATTCGGGTGTAACATTCACTTAAAAGAAAAGCTATAGATGGTAAGTACGTTAGTATGGTGACTGTGAAAATTGGGTTTCCTGTGTGTTATCACCACAACATATACGTAAGTTTTGTACTTTAGTAACTCAATAAACTCAGAACCCTGGCTAACATTCTGCGAGGTCTCTCGTGAACAAACGTAAGGTAATGTTAATTAGAACGTTAGTTCAAAGTTAACTGCTCTTTAATAATGTTCTCAAAATGTTAGCACACAAACGTTATTCATATATCTTTCATCAAGTGTTTTTTCTTCTAAAACCTTTTAGTTTTAATTTTAACATTTTAATTTTAAATGTTATTACTGGTTTCAGAATGTTCAATGCACATTCAAAAGTAACCTTCTCATAATATTCCCAAAAATGAAATGTTCCCTTAACAATATTATTACCAAGACAAAAACAATGGACTTTTTGAAAGTTCAGAGAACATTCAAAAAGCAGGTTTACATTTTAACTTAATGGGAACTTGGGAATTAGCAAAATGTTTATATAAACATATATTTTTTTTTACATGTTTGTGCCAGTTTTTTAAAGGGGTCATATGATGTTGCTAAAAAGAACAGTATTTTGTTTTTATAAAGAATATCTCTTTGGATTTGAGACTTTAGTCTTTGCAACTTTACAGATCTTCTTTATGCACCAAGAGCTTGTAACAGTCCAAAGAGAAAGGAAAAATTTTAATCGCATCATATGACCCCTTTAATACCCAGTTAGTTTTTTGATGTTGTGAAGGTTTTTAGACAGCAGCTGCAGACAGAATGCAGCTGGTATGCAACTGCCATGTCAACATACAGTAAGCACTTACTATATCTTTCAGCTTCAAAATGAAATAATTCTGGCAGACACAGAGGCTAATGATGATCAGTCAAATGAGGTTTGTCCTTCTTTCAATACTTTGGAGTTTAAAAATCAGCTCAGTGCATATTAATGAAACTTTTCAGTTGAGACAAATATTCCCAAATTACTCAAATGATCTTTTTTTTTTTTTACCCAAATTACTCAAATCTCAACTGTTTTTTGACGGTCAGGCAGTGAATCGCCTGATTGCAATCACATCTGAGCTAGAGCAATGGCAAGAAATGGAACCAAAATGTAAGATATTATCTATTGTTTTGTGTACTATTTCAAGTTAGATTAAAGGGTTAAGATAAAAAAATATATTTTAATTCAGTATTCAATATTACATATTTTAATTGCACAGTTGATGTGAAGACAGTTTGTTTTTTTTCCCTACTAGTGCTGACAACAAATCCTGAAGTCTTACTAGCGGTTGGTAAAGAAGAGGTAAGTTGTCACTTTAATAACACCCAATAGGTAGTGATTGTATCAAAATGTAAATGCAGTTACAAGTTTTCAGGCAATTTTCCCTCACAGTTGCAGAGACTCAACAGTCAACTTAAAATGGTCCTGTCATGCTCACAAGCAAAGCTGGATGCCCAGAAAAAGATTTTGAAAAGGTGCAATGTAAAGTTTTTTTTTGTCTCTGTATAATTGATATACTATTATTGTTAGTATTTTAAGTGTTAACTTTAAACAGAAATTAGAAATGTTGCCTTGGCAACTATCTGAAATAATTATTTATAAAGTTTTTTTTTATATATATATATATTTTATTTCAGTTAACGTTTGCTTTATTTCAAGTAAAGACATAATTTTCTTTTTATGGTTTTAGTTAACGATAATAACTCTTAAGACTGTGTTATGTTTAAATTAACTTTTTCTTAAGACATGATTTATATCACAAAAAAATCATTCATGTTTAATATAAACAACAAATATAAAACTGTGATCACTCTGAAAATGTTTTTCAGGGAGCAGACATGGCAAGCAGAGAAGAAAGAAGCATTGAATGCAGTGTGTGAGAAAATCACCAGATTACAGCGTGAAAACGAGAAATCAGAGCACAGGTTGTTAGTTTTATGCCGGCATTAAAAATCACATTTTTACATCTGCTTAAAGGGATATTTACCCAAGAATGAAAAAATGTCATAATTTATATACTCCTCATCATGCCATTCCAAACCTGTACATTTTTATTTGTGAAATACAGAAAGAAAATTATTTTTAGGAATGTTCATTCATTTGGCTACAATGTATGTAAGAATGAATGACGCTTGCTGTTTGGTGTTTATGATGTCAAGCCTGGAGTGTGACATCATGTTAGAATGGAACGCAAGCTCAAATTGCGTTTGTTTCTATTGTAATATATTTTAAAATTTAATTTTTTCCGGTAATGCAAAGCTGAATTTTCAGCATCATTACTTCAGTCTTCAGTGTCACATGATCCTTCAGAAATCATTCTAATATGTAGGAAACATTTCTTATTATTATCAATGTTAAAAATGTTGTGCTTCATATTATGCAGAAACTGTGAGTTAGATTTCAAAAATAGTAATATTTTTATTCAGCAAGGATGCATTAAATTGATCAAAACTGTTACAAAAGATTTCCAATTCAAATAAATACTATTCTTTTGCACTTTCTATTCATCAAATAATCCTGAAAAATGTGCATCACAAAACTCTTTTCAACATTTATAATAATAAGCACAATTATTAATAACTGAGCACCTGTAATAATTGTGCACCAGATGCGTGACAATAAATATATTTTAAAATGTATTAAGACATAGTTATTTTAAATTGTAATAATATTTTACAATGTAATTTTACTGTATTTTTGTTGATATAAATGCAGCCTTGTTAAGCAGAAGAGGATTCTTTCAAAAACATTAACAATTTAATTATTCCAAACTTTTGACAGGTGGTGTGCAGTACATTATTAAGCCAAATCTGTTTTCCACATTATTTATATATATATATATATATACATTATTATTTATTTGTTTTTTTGCCGCATTTTGCAGGATATGAAAAGAAAAATTAACAATCTAAAGGACTATCACAGCAGTCTCATGGAAATGCTGAGCGACATGTTAGCTGAGCACTTCCCACTTCCTGATCCCCAAGGAAACGGCACAAAGAAAAAAAGAGTAGGTGCCACCTTCACCCTCTCAGTTAGATCAGATAATATTGGATTTAGATTTTTTTTAGGTTGCTGCATATGATTATTGGATTTTTCAGGCTGCTGCATATGATGCAGAGATTAACCTGATTTCACTGAGTGAGATTATCGAGGTATGTTCAGATACCCATGACAATAAAGCATTTCTTTTTATATTGTTACTTTATGTTTGTAATCTTCTGACGTGGAATAAAATTGGAAATAGAGTGGAAAATAAATTGTTTCCTGATACAAAGTGCTTATTTTACTAACCCTATTTATTAACACATTTAATCATTTAATCATGCGCATTTATTTATTTATTGCAGAGATTGACCAATAAAACTCTCATCAAAAAAACCTCATGACCCTTATGTGACTACTGATGACACTTTCTGGCCACCATACACAGAAATGCTTCTTCGCAACGGTATTGCAACACGACATCCAGAAGATTGCAATAAAATCCGTCTGGAAATGTTTTTTTGAATCTGACGTGCACTTCACTGAATCTAATATTGTTTTGCATGTCTACAGTTAAATGTCAGTGTCTATTATTTCTGTTATTTCAAATTTGCTACATTTTTATATGAAGCTTGGCCATTGTGGTAGTTCATTGCAGTTTAAAGATGTATTTTTGAGTTACTTGTCAAGTCCACAACTTAAAATGCAAAGTGTTGGTGTTTGTTTTACTTTGTATATACATGTCAAAAACTGTCCAAAATGATTTTTTTTTTTTTAAATGATGACTTAAAGTCACCTTAAACATACATTATGACCTTTAGTTGTCTCCAGTGCTGCTTCAGTGACTTAGATATCAGTATGGGGAATGGATTCAAAAAGGTTTGCTAGCCCACACCCTCACCCCCAAGCCAATTATATGTGATATTAATGACAGAATTAGAAACTACAATATACAGTCATCAAAATACCATCTCATAATTATAACATTGTCATTGTATTTTTTTTCACAGTAATGTCCTGGCAACCACAGCTACAGGTTTTGTAAATTTAACATGAACGGACAAAAATATAATGCACCCTTAAAAATATTAAATGGAGTACAAACTAGCTATGACAACTAGCCTCGGGGTATATTCCTGTGTAATGCTGTGTCCCATCAACAGAGTGTGCGCGAGATAACTACTTTTTTTGTTTTATTATTTATTTATTTTTATTCTACTGGTGCTACACTGCTAATTGTCAATGTTAAAAATGCTGTGCTTCATATTTTTGTAGAAACTGCTAGATTTCAAAAATAGTAATATTTTTATTCAGAAAGGATGCATTAAATTGATAACTACTATTTTATTTTTATTATTATTATTTAAATTCTACTGCTGCTACACTGTGCACCAGTAGAATTGTGTACATTTAGAAGTACACTTAAATGTGTATAACAATGCTGTATTCATGTAATCTGTTTATTTTGCTATTCGGATACAATATTTCATTGAGCAGTATAGATGAAAGTGACACCTTGTGAATAATAAGTCAAGTCAAGTCAAGTCAAGTCTGCTTTTTTGTCAATTCTTCCACATGTACAGCACAGGTCTTCCAGTCAGGAAGTCCAACAGCCAGTTGCACAGCGAAGTGTTGAGCCCCAGCTGGACCAGTTTGTGAATGAGCTGTTGAGGGATGATTGTGTTGAATGCTGAATTGAAGTCTATGAACAGCATAATAATGATTTTTTATTATGCTGTATAATAATAATATCCTAATATTATTAAGCTATTATTAGGCCTCCTAATATTAATAAGCTAATAATGATTTTGCTTATTATAATGAGCCTCTTGGCATTTTATATCATCCTTTCTCACAACTAGCCTACTTGTTAGTTTAAACAAATTCACATTCTTTCAAAAAAACAGACACAATACGGCAGTGTTCCTTATACTAAGGCCTACTATACTTAGCAAATGTAAAGTAGTTATGTATAGCTGAAGCTGTCAATCTTGCACTCTTTGTTATACACCATAAGAGTCATCTGGGTATGTTTTGCCCTCCAGCCATATGTGCGTGTGTGTGAATTTTTTCCTATTTGAGTCTTCTTTAAAGCACTAGCATGTGCTCACTGTGGTTGCAATCCTCAAAACATAACCGAACGCCAAAGAATTTCTGAACCATCTCCATTTCTCAACATCCTGCAGGTTTCACAGATTGAAATGTCCTCATTATAGCATTTGTTTAACTAAGCTCCGAACATGGCTCGCTTGGATATTATGGGATATGTGACGTCACATGGGCAAATATATTTGCATACAACTGCTTCCAGTGGCCTGTTGCATGAAGCTATATGGACAAACTCTTGAGTTTCAGAGTAGGTTTACAGTTGACAAACCAAACAAATCCAACCTGGTTTAGATCAGGGGCATGTACCATGATGCCAGATTAGTTGGCTAGCCAGGTAAGTTTCAGGTAAGACTTGGATTTTAGCGGCGTTCATTGCCATAGTAACTTACACTCCACAGCTAACCTGCTCCAGGGCAGGTTATGTTCTGGGTAAGAGATCTCAAACTGAAATCAGATGTGAGCAAAGCCATATCACCCTGTAGCCCAAGACTGGTTGCCCACTGAAGCTAAGCAGGGTTGAGCCTGGTCAGTACCTGGATGGGAGACCTCCTGGGAAAACTAGGTTGCTGTTGGAAGAGGTGCTAGGGAGGCCAGCAGGGGGTGTTCACCCTGTGGTCTGTGTGGGTCCTAATGCCCCAGTATAGTGATAAGGACACTATACTGTAAAAAGCACTGTCCTTCGGATGAGACGTTAAACCAAGGTCCTGACTCTGTGGTCATTAAAAATCCCATGGCACTACTCATAAAGAGGGGTGTATCACCGGTGTCCTGGCCAAATTCCCTCCACTGGCCCTTGTCTATCATGGCCTCCTAATAATCCCCATCCACTGAATTGGCTCTGTCTCTCTCTCCTCTCCACCTGTAGCTGGTGTGTGGTGAGTACTGTGGCTGCCGTCGCATCATTCAAGTGGATGCTACGCACTGGTGGTGGTTGAGGAGAGACCCCCACATGATTGTAAAGTGCTTTGGGTGTACAGCAATACACAATAAAGCGCTATATAAATGCTTCATTCAATCATTCATTCATTCAAAGTGACACATGTCTAACGCAGAAAACTCACTCCCCCAGTTTCTCTTCCTCCAAAGTAAAGGTCACTATATAGTAAAAAAAAAGTTGTCATTGTCTGGCTTTAATGATAATTACTCAGAATTATTTTATATGATTTATATAATTATTAATCCATTACACACAAGCAATTTTAGTTTAACAATGATTATAAAGCAATGTTTTAAATTAACATTAATATATACAGGTCATATGTAATATAAATAAGCTGTATAATCAATAGATAATGCTTTAAACATAACTACATGTGACCTTACATGTTCGAGTCTCTATCGCTATATATTATCAACTATATAAACGAACTTCGCAAGTTTCACTTGTGACTGCACTGATAGAGCAAGAAAAAATTTTTTATTTGTCCTTTCATGGACAAGTACTTTCTTCAGTCTAAATACGTTTAAATTCCATATATTCTTCAATCTCTTAACCTTTAGCAAAAGAGTTTTGACTCTCGCTGGCTCTCTCGTGAGAAGTGAATCACATTTGCTCTGTGTTGCAAGGCATGTGATTGGCTGTTCACCACTGCCCACATAGCATTTTTTTTCTGGTCCACACAAACCCTTTTCCCTCGGCCCACATACTGCAAAGAATGATGGCCCTGGAGTGGCCCAGATCTGGATTAAAGACAAGGGCCTCACATGGGCCATAACTGGCCCGAGTCTAAGCCAATTAATAGCCAATAAGTGGCCCTGCACTGGGCCTGAATGGGTTTTAGCATTGGCACCGATTCTCAGCCTTAAGTAAACCAGAAGCCCCAAAACTGAGCCACACCTGAGCCTTATATAGCCCAGACAAACCCATTACAGAATATTAATATTTTATATTATTGCATCGTGCATTTTTTTTACAGTAATTGCCATTATTTGTGAAATGTTTTGGTAATGTAAACACAAACTATACAAATAAAGTAAATTTAACTGAATAGAAAATCATCCTTAAAATCCACAAATTATGTAACTGTACAATAAAAAATGTATTGCATTAAAAAATGTTTTTTTATAAAGAACAAATCAACCATATCTATCTTATATGTAACGTAGGTATTATTACGCAACATGTAACGTTACTAGTACAAAAACTTTTTGTATATTTGGAGATATGCTTGCTGAAATGTACAATATTTACAAAGTACACTAAACATTTATACGGTATACAGTCTATAAGAGAAACATAACAGACAGACAAGTGTAAAGTTAATCACAAAAATGTATTTATTGCAGAAATGCCAAAAAGCAGTACCACAGTAGTCCAAATGACGATGCGTTGCACTCGCAGTCCTCTCAGGAGGTATATAATAGTTTAGTGTTAGGAGCAGAGCATAGGCTAATTTCACCCTCTGGTTGTGTTCGGATTCCTGTAGCACTCGTGGTGTTCCCGGTCAAAAATGCCTCCAAACAATTGCTTATAAATCTCTCATTATGCTATATTATCACCAAATATATTAGATTCAATCGTTTTGTCAACTTGTTTTCTTTCATTTAGGACTGGTTTTGTATTTATATTTGCATCTGATTAATCATAGGCCTCATTTTTCTGTGAGTAGGTACCTCATTTTTTGAGTGAAAAAAGCATTTTTTATGAATAATTTTCACAATATGAGATAAAAAAATTATGAAAACTTGCACTGTTTATTACACTTGTGTACTTTAATGTTTAATCAGGAAGTTTGCTTGGAAATGCTTTTATTTTGTAAAACAAATGGCACAGTCACACTTGTGGTGTTCCACAGCCATTGAAAATGAACGGGGAAGAATGAAAGTAAGAGAAAAAACTAGTGTTCAGGAGCATGTTGATTATGCTCACATCTGTACATGTGTGCTTACAAAAATAAAGGTCTCGGACCTCTGCATGTGTGTATGCATGCATACTCACGCTACTACACACACATATTATATGAATATAGTAAATAATTAGCAGCAAAAAACGGGCAATTTTGTCTGTAAAATTCTTTCACTGTAAACTGCTTTAATTTGAAGCAAGAGATTCAAGGGGAGTGGCTTGCATCAGATATATATCACTTTGCTCACAGCTGATTGGTCCAGTTTGGGTTTGCAATCTCTAATAAAAGCTACTCCGGAGCATGGTAGCCATTACCATAGCCACAAAACCCTCTCAAATCCAACCCACATTCTTGACCCCGAAATCTCAAGAGTTTGCTCCAACTAAACGCAAACTTACCTGGGTAAAAAGCGAAACGGCTTCTTGCAACAGGCCTCAGGGAAAGACATGACATACTGTACTTTATCGCACCATAATAAGTCACAGCCACAGTGGACCTGCGTGCAACGTGCGTTGCATCCAGTCAAAAGCAAATGCGGTCGCTGTCACTCGTGTTGCTGGAAATCGCCAGCTCTCCATTGAAATGAATGGGATCGTGTCGCTTTGTCGTTGCATGTGGCTTGTAGTGTGAACAGGGCTTTAGTGTGGATGCTGTCTACACTGGATAAAGTATGCGTGTTCAATTTCTGACATGCATACTTAAAGAGCTTGAGCTACTCTAATCAACAGGAAAAATGAAAGAACAATAACGTTCGCTTTGACTCGTCCTGTTTAAACAGCATGTTTGCGCACAGACTTCAGAAAGTTTGTTCGGAGCATTTGGCTGCAGAAAATGAAGCACAGTGTAATGAAGAGTTTCCAAAGAAACTTTTGTTGAAAGATGAAGCAACCGTTGGTATTGGATCTGTCCACAGCTGCATCACAAAGCGTAAGTAAACAATTTCATAATGCATTGTCTATAAATTATGGTTTTATATTGCTGGTTTAGAAAAGGTTTACTTAAGGGCAAAGGTGACATTAGCCAGTCATATTAGTGGCCGTTTACTGACAAGTCAGTCGCCCCTTAATGAGAGTTGAAAATTATTTTTCTGCATATATTTGTGTGTGTGTGTGTGTGTGTGTGTGTGTTTGCAAACATTATTAACATTATAAATGACCCCAAGGAACATATTAATACAAATCCAAAGGTCAATCTGAGAAAAAAAATAATCTGCCATTGTAATAATAATTAAATAACTAATACTAAATAAAAATATCCTATCTGAATTTGGCAGGTGGCAAGAGTTAATTTCCCACCCTGAAATGTCCATATGTGTGCACTATATTTAAAGACCATATAATAGCTCTCTGTGACTGAGAGAGCTCTCATGTCTTTATTCATGGAAAACTTTTTTCTTTCATTGCAGTTCTCAAATATCATTCTCCATTCTATATATTCAAACTGCTGCGTCATGTGCAGTTACCACACCATATGAAAATCAATGCCATGTGGCTTCAGTGATGTCAAACCTGGCCCAAAGCATTGACATGCTGAGTAGGGATTTGAAGTACATTCCAGAGTTTTGGCAGTCTTTTGGAGCTTGACAGATGTGGTAACTGTCTTCTTTTTATAAAAGAAAAAGATACATTTTCCATGGAAAAAAGTCAAGTCATCTTTATTTACATAGCGATTTGTACAATACAGATTGTTTTAAAGCAGCTTTATGGTGACAAACAGGAAAATAATGATTCAGTGATGCAAATAGAAGTCAGCTCTAAAAAGATAACAGTCATAATTCTGAAAACAACAACTTACAATTTTGAAACAACATGAGAGTTTGTAAGCAATTAGAACATTTTCATTTTTGGAGGAGCTATTGCTCTGCATGCACCACATGGCTCCATGCTCTGCATGGTTTAATATGGTCTCCAACAAAGGTGCATCTTAAAATGATAATGATTTCTAAACAAACATACACACATTATGGCACATGTTTACACTGTGTGGGAAGCTATTGTATGACCCTGGACATGGAGGTTATCCTAAATAGCCTAACCTTAAGTGCATATAAACATATTGTATACACAGGTATATGCCTACGTAAATACATATCCTCTATTTGTATAAACCATGTCCCATGAATGCATATTTTCAGTATTTATCCCAATGCTAAGATCAGAAACATAATGCCATTGTATATTGTATAAGAGTAAGGTTACTGACTCTTAAATAATTAGGGGAAGATGAAGGAAGATGGCCACCTTAAGAATAGTTCGCATTCATGATTAAGTTGTAGTATATGAGTCTAGAATGTACAATATGATAATGCATCAGCCAATACATTATTAAGAGAAATACATGGAAACATTTGCTAATTACTTGTTATAGCATAAAATTGGAAACCATGAAAAATGGCCATGCCTCACCAATGGGGTAATCCCCCCCCCAACCCGGGACAAGAAACTAGTTTTTATGGGTTAAATCAAGCTTTTTAATGGTAACAATTGCACATTAACACATTTTACAGTGTAGTGAAATTTTGTGTCTGTGTGTTCTGCGGCACGTGTCGCTGTCCAGGGTTCTGAAAAACAACTGGCCTACAGTTTGTACTTACGTTATGTAAATCATCTCAATTCTACGAATTAACTAATCGTATAAAGTTGATTATTATTGGATTTTCGTTTTATTCTCCCAATGGTTTCAACTCGACCATGCATTCAATTTTACAGTTATACAGACCATCTGGGCTCCAGTAGTCTACTTTTTTTTTGTTTTACATTGTCTAGAGATGGTTTATGTCAAGCACACATGAGACTTTCGAGGATAATTTTTTATTACAGACATCCCTCAGTCAGACAAAACAGACGAATCGATTGTATTTAAGAGGTGCGCGGGAGCGATTCTAAAAATAGCCCGACGAGAGCGCGCACTGAACTATTACCAGATAAGCTACTGCTAAAAATACAGAAAAGCGAACAAGGTGTGCGCGGTCGAGCACACACCGATATGAAAAAGGAACGGGGAGTGTGACTCTCATATAGATGCTTTTTTGCCCATTTCACATACGAGTAAGCGTGCGGTTGGTGAGAGTGGTATACGCGCTCGCGGATCTGCATTTCCATTGACTTTTTTTTTTAATCTGAGAGCGACGAAAGAGAGAGAGATCAGTGGGCGAGAGACGGACTCCTCCTTTGCAGTCGCCCAATACCGAGCCCCCGGTTTAGTGAAGGGGGAAATCACAGATCTGCTAGCTAATGCCGGAGTCCCTCTGTTTGCGTCGTCTCCGGGCGTAGAGATGATGGGCTTCCCGTAACTGGAGGTGGAGGGGAGAGGCGGGGGGTGGGGGTAGCGAGAAAAGAGGCGGGGTGGGTTGAAAACAAAAGAAAAAACACGAAGAGAAACAAAAGCACAGTTGTGGGTGACTGAAACCATGCGAGATTTGCACTACTCTCAAAGAAGGCTGCTCTATCCGTGGACCATGTCGTGAGGTGTGGCTCCAGCGCTCGGGATACTGCCAATAGATACGCCTGGGAGCGGGGCAAAAGATGTCCGCCTCGGTAGGGCCCCAAAGCGGCCCTCGCCCACCCACCGTGCCGGCTCCCATGCCTGATATGCCGGACTTGAGTCATCTCACGGAGGACGAAAGGAAAGTCATCATGGCAGTGATGGTTCGGCAAAGGGAGGAAGAGGACAAGGAACAAGCCATGCTAAAGTAAGGGCTGGACGATTTCCTTTGTGTATCCACAGACGTTTTCGACACTTTCGCTTTCCTTTGAGTCACAGCTTCATGACCTTTCACTGCCCGTAACGTGTGATTAATGAATCCCTAAAATCGTAGTGATTTTGCAGTTTACGAACGCGTGAGTCTTCAAGTATCCTTTGCTGGATAACAGCGTCTGGTTGCAGTGGCCTCTACTACTGCACAGAAAGCAGGAGGTAAAAGATGAGCTTTGCATAGCTTGGTTTTAACAGCAGTGTGTGTATAGAAATTAGCTAGATTTGAGGTCAGGCGAGTTACAGGTGCACCATGGAAAGCAGACGGGGAGATGGGGCGTGACAGAGCGCGGGGATGAATCATACTTCGCAACTGCTTGTGCCACCCCACTCCACCCGATGCACCTCCGGGGGCAACACAAGGTGCTCTTCACCCTTTTTAAGAAAGCGCCCAAACACTGTTTTATATGGTGAAACACACAGCAAATGTTAACTTGGCGGAAGGTTTGCGCGCTGGTGCGTGAAGAAAGACGTTGAACAAAAAAAAACGTCTAGTTTGATACACGTTAAACGACAGGGAACGTCTGTTTTATGCCAATTGACAATATATTTAAAGATATCCACAATCTGGAAAAGAAATACAGTCTTTCGCCGCTTTACAACCGGGGTGTGGTTCGTGATTGGCTCGCGATTATTTCGGGCGGCTCAGCCGATGCATGCGAGGACGACTACAAACTAAAAATGTGTATCTTTAAGATACATGGATTACTAAAAGTTGCGACTGTAGCCACTATCGTGTGTTTCGAGATCTAAAATACAATTTCTTCTCATGTGACAACCACCCTCTCCCTCCCGTCGGCATGAATGATTTGAAGAAAGACCTGACGTAGAGCTGTGAAGGCTCTTGCGTTTCTCATTACGTCGAGCGTAAAAGAACCGGTGAACCGGTTTTTTCAACCGGTTTATTGAATCGAACTGTCCGAAAGAACCGGTTCGTGGAAAAGAACCGAACTTCCCATCACTAATTCCCTCGCAGTTACTCTTCAGACGGAAATGACGTGATAGAAAATTGAGCCGAGGTTATGTAATTTTTTCCTATGACGACTAATCTGCAACGGAAATGGTCATCTATAATTTTGACCATGCGATGATTGAGTCAAAGGCGCCACTACATCACGACCCAACAGCCACATCTACAAATGTGTGGCAGTGGGGTATTTATTTCAATACCTGTGCAGAGAATGTGCTGTGAGAAGCATAGTTCAAAATGAACGTTTGTCTCAATATCTGTTTACTACTACACACCGATGACCTCGTGTTTGTCCATATGTCACCCACTCTAAGGTCCATAGTGAAGTAAAGGCAGACAGATGTGAAAAATATGGATAAAGATTTACCATAATCTTAATCTTACATGCTTAATATATACTTTTTTGAGAATGTGGTTCTCCCTTCACCATTAAAGGGATAGTTTAGGAGATTCTTTTTTATTCTGCTAAACATAAAAGAAGATATTTTGAAGAATGTCGGCAACCAATCAGTTGCTGGTCCTCATTAACTTCTATAGCATGGGAAAAAAATACTATGACAATGGCTACCAGCAACTGTATGGTCACCCACATTCTTCAAATTATTTTGTTTTGTGTTCAGCAGAAGAAAGAAACTCACACAGGTTTGGAACAACTTGAGGGTGAGTAAATGATGACACAATTTTTATTTTTTTTAGGTGAACTATCTTTTAACATGAAATAAGCAACTGCTATGTCCACATGCAGTAAACCTACTATAGTGAAAAGCATAGTGAAAATCTGATAAACAAATATATGAAATATAGAAGTATGCTAAAGCAAAAGTACACTAAAGTGTGTTATGAAACAATTTCCCTGTTTTATGCCTAAATAGTTAGGACAAATATAAACCCAAGTAAATTCAAAATTAAAGTAGTTCATATAGGTGATATATCACCCTCAGCACCATATTGTATGACATATACTGTATAATACTAAGAGGTCATGCTGCATCCCAATATGCCTACTTTTCTACTATGTAGTATGTGAAAAACAGTGTGCCAAAAGAGTATGTTTAAATGCATATTATTCAAAAAGCAGTTGGCGAAAAGTACATAGATGACCTAATATTATCGCTGAGATTTTGATGTGTGTTTTTGATATTTTACTATCCCATGAGGCCACAGGAGAGGCCACATACTATATAGAATGCACTTCTTCAATGTTCTTCATCAAATGTAACACCTATTCAGGCAGTATGTGATTTGTGACACAACGTCACTTATAGATGACACAGAGCACACATTTTCTCAATTTAGCTTTTTATCAATAAACCCAATATACCCACTGATATTAAGTAGAGAAGTGTGACTACTAGGACTACTGTAGGGACACTTCCATGGTCTTTGCATTATTTTTCTTTGTATTAAAGGGGTCATATGATGCGATTTCAAGTTTTCCTTTCTCTTTGGAGTGTTACAAGCTCTCTATCCAGCTGGGACAGATAAAATGCTGTAATCAAGCTGTTCATACTGTTTCAGGCAGCCTCGAGAACAGGTCAGAGCTAATTATTGAGAGGTGCTGTGTGAATGCAGCACCTGCTGAGGTCACGTAGTATGTGCTATCACATACTACATGATTGAACACATTTATATATGAATATGCAGAGTTAAAAAAACAAAACAAAAAAAAAAAACGAAAGCTTAATCACAAGTTCTCTAATCAAAATCTTTATTAAAAGCGCAAATAACATGAAAACACTTGAATATTAAAATGAACACTAGTGGTAGTAAAACACCAACAACTTTTATTCTATGTCAAGCAAATTATGATTGCAGGGGCAGATTGTTGATTAATAAAGACTTGTTTTTGCAAGGTTCCTTGCAAAATACAATGCTATGACTAGGGATGTAACGATTCACTCAACTCACGATTCGATTCACTGATTTCACAATTAAATTTTCTCACGATTTTTTCTAAACAAAATTAGATTTAAGACAAATTATAAATGAAAAGGTGTCCTTTTATTATTGCTTGGACAAAATGCTGCACATTTATTTGTGAAACAAAAATATGTCAAATAACAAATCTAAATTGAAATTTTAAAAGAAACCCTAAATCTAATCAAATAAATGAAACAAACAAAAAAATCACTTCATATAAACAAAGGCTACCTGTGCTCTTTCTATTTAAAATTAGAGGCAACCACTGCATTTGAATCACAATCCAAACAAGGATGCTGAATACATGCAGTATGATCAGTTTTAAATCTAAATTAGATTGCATTATTTTAAATTTTAAAATAAAAACAAAATGCTGACTTTAGTTTTGCGAAACTATACTATACTACATAAAACATCTGCACGAAACAAACAGCAGAAGCTCTGAATGAGACGCAGATTCACTCTCTGACAGCAGGTGGCGCTTATGGAACAGCAGATACAGCGTTTCCTTGGTTGCCGCTGTCAACAAAGCAGTGCAGCGCTTATGAACGCTGCTTTAATATGAATTATACAGAGACCAGATGAAAAGAAAATATCATCTAAACTTTTATAAAGACAGTCAGTTCCCCTTAGAGATACATTCATATAAACTCCCACCCCCGAATGTATCGCAATTCGTTTAACATCTCAACCGATTTGAATAGTCACATTTTCAACCGGTTCGCGGTGAATCGTTACATCCCTAGTTATGACTGAAAAAAATACTGCATGATTTATAAACTAACACATTTTGATATTTGCAACACATAACCAGCTCAATTTGTTTGGCTTTTCTGGTGTAGTAAACTTGCTCAGTGGCTCACCAGGTAAAGTGGTGTACTTGCTATATGTAGTGTTTAGGTACGAGTCCCGTGAAACATAAGTCACAATAAAAGGGCTCAAAGACTTGTAGAAACAAGCATACAAGAAATAAAATGCCACCTGTGCTCCATCAGCGAATCCAGAAAAGAGGCTTTAGGATTATTCAGAGGTTAGGATAATATAGGCCCTCAGAGCTGACCTACAATGAAGAATAATTGCAGCCACACAGAACACAACAGGGGTCACAGGTAGGCCAGTGCCAGATCACCCCACTACAACAAAGGCAACAGGTAAAACAGAAATGCAGGGCTTTGTATAGAAGTTGAAGACGGACATGTACAAATATGAAATGAATATTACATGGCCTAATGTACACTAAACAGACAATGTAATCAGTTGTAGAGAGAAGAACACATCTTAATCTTTAGCAGTTTAGGCTTGTCTGAGGATACAAAACCTGCATTTTGCAAGTCAATGATTTATTAGATCCCATATAAACAGTACAAAGTAAGAGAATGTTTAATTTGCATTATTTTAGCCAAATGTGCTAGTTCTCGTTGTTTCCTTCCCACTGTGACTAAACTAAGAGTGAAAGAATGGCAGCCATTTTTCCTTCTAGACTTGTGAAACTGGTTCAGTTGTTGAGAACAGCTTCTTGCCAGACTCCCAACTCAAAACAGTAGCTTGTTGCAGAAGAAAAGTCATTATAAAAAGTGATTTTATAAGTATTTTTATAAGTCCTTATAAAAATAATGTGTCTTACTAAGATTGGTTTGTTGAAAAGACAAACATTGGATCATTGTTTCTTGTTCCTTTCCTTTTTTCTTAGCATAAGCAGGGCTCAACGCTAAGGAATTTTTTACTGGCCCAGTCGGGCCTGTGGTTCAAATTTTTACTTGCCCTGCCAACATTTTCACAAAAAAATTAAATAGTTGTTATCATTGTTTTTGACCCATGTTATCTTATTATCTATTCTAATAAATGAGCATATATGATTAAATTTAAGTTAAAATCAATTACATATTACAATTCTCAATTCCAATTCCACAGCAAAAACTACTAACCTAACAAATATAAAGTTCAAACATTATTAAAGACAAGTGAATAACAAATGAACAAACTAGCACATAATAAATAAACAGAACAAAGAATAAGTTTGTATGTGTTCAGGTACAGTAAATGTACAA